CTGGGTCAGACCAAAGGTCCATCTAGTCCAGTAGCCTGTCTGCCGACAGCGGCCAACCCTAGAGACCCTGGAGAGGATGGACTGAAGACAGTGACCAAGCCATTTGTCTCGTGCCATCCCTCTCCAGCCTTCCACAAACTTTGGGCAGGGACACCACTCCTACCCCCTGGCTAATACCACTCCATGGACCCAACCTTCATCACTTTATCTCACTTCTCTTTAAACTCTGTTCTAGTTCTAGCCTTCACAGCCTCCTGCATCAAGGAGTTCCACAGGTTGACTCTTTGCTTTGTGAAGAACAACTTTCTGTTACTAGTTTGAAGCCTGCTACCCATTCCTTTCCTTTGGTGTCCTCTAGTCCTTCTTTATGGGAACTAATGAAGAACTTTTCTGTATGCACCGTCTCCAGCCAACTCCTGCTTTTAGAGACCTCTATCCTGTCCCCCCTCCGTCTCCTCTTTTCTAAGCTGAAAAGTCCCCAGTCTCTTTAGCCTCTCTTCATAGGGACCTGTTCCCAACCCCTGATCATTTTAGTTGCCCTCCCCTCTCCCAGCCTCTCTCTTCCCCTCTCCCACCTCCTTTTCCCAGTCTCCCCCAGTTTTGTTCAATAAAGACAGATTCCATTTTTGAACACAATTGTTCTTTATTTGGTACATCAAGAAGAGGGGCTAGGGAAGGGTAAGTGGAAGGAGGTGAGGGAGGAATGGGGTATGTGCCCCTGATGGGGAGGACTGGGATGGCTCTGCGGGCTTTTGGGGTGGAAGATCTCCTGCAGCCCCCTGATTGCCCCCTCTCACCAGATGGCAGCCTGCGGCAAGTGCAGCCGGTCTGATGGCCGAGTGCTGTGATGTGCCCAGTGTGGGTACTCCGGGCAATCCAAGCCAGGACTGCTTTGCAAGCGGGGCACCCCTGAGAACTGTCTGCCCGGGGTGGGGGTCGGGACCCTTTAAGCACAGCCCTTGGATAGCCTGACGCAGCATCTCCACGCTCTAAGTCCTCCTCTGATGCCGTGCCGGCACTGCTTCCGGCCATCCTTAAGCCTGGTTCAGGGTCCACTTAATGTGGACATGCTAGTTCGAATTAGCAAAACGCTACTTTGAACTAGTTTTTTAGTCTGGATCCATTAGTTCGAATTAGCTTAGTTCGAATTAACTAATTCGAACTAAGTTAGTTCGAATTAACGTTGTAGTGTAGATGTTCCGTTGGAGGGAGTAGTGCTTTACTATTAAATACCATTGTTTAAGTAAATAAGCTTCTCACATTAATACTACAGAAAGTAAGCTTGGCAGACTTGATTTTACAAATGCTCCAGAATAGTTCACTGCTGTGTGATCTAGCTATGGTTGAATGGTTCAGGATCTTTCTTTGAAATGTGTCTTATATGAACCAGAAGTTATTGGTCTAAATGCTGGAATTGCCAGAAATTATGTGACCTGTGTGAAGTAGATCAGACTGCAATGATGATTATAATGATCCTTTCAGGCCTTAAAAACAGTTATCCTATTTTGGGTTTTATGTGCTGTTGTAGTGTCAATAGAGCTTCATGTTTCTTCTTCTAGGAATGTTCCTGTGGATGCCATCTTAGGTATGCCAGCACTGCTGCACCCATGGTCGGCAGACTTTTGATAGCAGTGCCCACCCCCTTTGGCAGTGCATGCGGAGCACTGATGCACAACGCTCAAAATGGTCATCCTGTGGGCACAGCCAACTGCCTCCTCAGTTCCTTTCTGACTGCTGTCAGTTTTGGTCACACAAAGTAGCTGTCCTCACATACCTCAACCTAAAGTTAGACTTAGTGTTAGCTGTTAGAACACAAAGCTAAGCTAACCAATGTAATACTTTCTCATTATATTACAAAAATATATATTAAAAAGAAAGAAAGAAGAAGAGGGAGGGATTCTCCTCTGCTACACAGAAGCCATGGGTTCTACAATGCCTGCACAGACATTTTTCTCTTTGGCAAAAAGAGACCACCTCAAAACAGACTTTTTCCAGGACATACCTGGCTCCTCAAGATTCTAAAAGTGTGAATCCTATAAATTGTCCATTTCTTTTTCAGACACACATTCTCAGTGTGTCTGCTGCCTAGGTCATAAGCACAACACATAAGAGTGCAAACACTGCCTGAAATTGACCAGAAGGAGAAGGAGAGGTCTTAGCTTAACCCACACATGTAGTGTGGTTCACTGCCCCATGTAGTGGCACTTAGACCACTTACATCCAGAGATAAACACAAGGGAGCTCTACAGCCTAAACTGAGAGCCAGTTGGCTTTATAGCTCAAGCTGTAGAAGCTCCTACAATAAGCTCCAGGAGTCCCATTTTGAATCTGCTTCATCATCAACAACCATGGGGTCAATGCCCGTCGGTGTCTGATGCCTCCCTCATTATGTCCTTCCATCTTTCCCTGTCCAGTGCAGAGTGGCTTAGTTTCTGTAGACTAGCTCCGCACCAATCTACTGTATCATGTACCTATTCTCTGTGGGGTCTGCCTCTCCTATTCGGGCCATCCATTATGCCGAATACCAGGATCTTAACTTTTCGCTCATCGTTCACTCTGCCTGAATAGCTGTAACTTCCGGTGTATAACCTTCTTCAGTAGGTTCTCTTTTGTCTGTATCTTCCTATACAATTCCTCATTAGTAACCTTCTGCATCCATCCTATTCTCAGGATTTTCTATAACAACTCCTCTCGAACACCAATATCCTTCTCATCGAATCTTTCATTATCACCCATGTTTCACATCCATACAACATGCTGCTAAATACACACATTTTCAAGACACTCAGTTTTGTTCCTAAGTTAAATTACTTTTCCAGATCTTATCCATCGGCCTTCCAACTCACTCTTGCTTTCGCTATTCTAGTTGCTATTTCCTGCTTACTGTCTAGATCATATGCCCTGTTGCTCTCCAAATCTGTGAACTTCTCTTCATTCTCTAGTTCGATCCCTTCTACACTGATCTTCCTTCCTATTTCCTTATCTCGCACACCAGTATTTGCAGAGTTTATAAAAAATAATCAGACTCTTTGCCTTCTGTAGTATGTTTTGCTGAAGCCGCTAAGGCCGGTGTGGAAACTTAACCAGAAGACTCATGAATACACTTTTATACTTTTCTCCTTAGCTATGTAACCACTATAATTCAGATGTTTGGTCTTGGTTTTGGATCAGTTGAAAAAGACAAACTATTGTAACAGGTGAAAATGCTTCCAGGCAGAAAAATTGCCTACATCATTTGTCTGCCTCTTGTGAGAAAGTTGAGTGTGCTGTAGCAGTCAGTATTTAAATAAAGTGGGGCCATGAGAACAAACCTCATAGATTATTCATGTCTTTCAGCAGAGAGTCTTGAAATACTTTCAAAGTGCTAGTTAAGCCTGACACACAGCTATGAGATAGGTAAGCAGAGTACTATCCCATTTTACACACTAGTAAAGTTGAGCATAATGATTCTGAATGGTTATAAGGGCCCGCAATTTGTTCACGGGGTCAGTGGCAGGGTCAGGACAGCATAACGATTCTGAACGGTTATAAGGGCCCTCAATTTGTTCACGGGGTCAGTGGCAGGGTCAGGAATAGAATTTAGGAATCCTGGCTCCCAGTCTACACTAGACGCCTTTTTATGGTAAGCTTTAATTTTTTTTTATGAAGTAGAACTAAAAATACAAAGGATGGAAGAAAGACTGTGTAAGGAATGGGAGTTTAATGCTAGAAAATAGCTTTGAGTGCAGTTAGCTGTTAAGTATTAGTACAATTCTCTGCTAACTCCAATAATCTGATTTTACTTTACACTCCATTAAGCTGACCACTAAGGTTTTGTAAATGAACTGCTGTTGTTTTGTCCTTTCACCTCTGTTTATATACATTATGAGGAGTACTCAGATTGCTGACTTTGGTGCAATATGTCAGGCCAAACCGCCTTGCCTGCAGAATGTTAGCTGTTTTTATTACACAATAGATAAATAAATGCAGATAAAGCTGCTTTGCTACTTTTTAAAATTTATTTAGCTATGTACTTCCAGCATACTTGTTTACAGGATTTTAGACTCCCCATATGTTAATGCATTTTCCATAGCATGTTAGAGAATCTGTAGACCTTGTTCTTATTGGATATAAATAGAACAAAGCCAACTAGCAAAAGGGGAAATAAATAGGCATGACTGTACCTGACTTCTGTTCTGCAATTGACAATGCTTTGATGCTATACCATTTCTGTAAGTTTTCAGAGTGTGTTTGCAGTTCTTGCACTCACTCCTCCTTTTTACAAGTTTTCTATCTCTGTATTACTTATTTTTGCTGACCATAGTTTCTATTCCCCTTTCTCTAAATATTAGATATGGAATCAGATTCAGATTTCAGCTACAGTGGTGAAAATCCCGAATAACACTATTGACTTCTGAAGGTACTGTATGTCAATATTTACCATTAGTCTGAGAGAATCTGACATTTCTTTCCTTAATTTTCAGAAACATTCTTTCTTTCATTTTCTCACACTACTGTATCTGCTCCCTAGCCACTCTCTGCCAAAGATACTAAACCTTTTTATGTCAGAAGCTCCCAGACTTTTCTTTCTTGGATGTCTGTTCAGTCTTTCTGGCTGTGTCTACACTGGGCCACTTATTCTGGAAAATCAGCCGCTTTCCCGGAATAAGCTGCGAGCTGTCTACACTGGCCCTTGAATTTCCGGAAAAGCAACAAAACCAGCCGCTATTCCAGAAAAACTATTCTGCTCCCGCTCGGGCATAAGTCCTTATTCCGGAACACTGTTCCGGAAAAGGGCCAGTGTAGACAGCCCAGTAGTCTTTTCCAGAAAAAAGTCCCGATCGCGAAAATGGTGATCGGGGCTCTTTTCCGGAAAAGCGCGTCTACATTGGCCACAGACGCTTTTCCGGAAAAAGGGCTTTTCCGGAAAAGCAGCCTGCCAATGTAGACGCTCCTTTTCCGGAAAAACTGAAAACGGAATAGTATCCATTTCCGGAAATTCATGCCAGTATAGACACAGCCTCTGTGTTTCTCCTTCAAAAGCACATATTCTTGTCACTTTGCCCCAGTTGGTTGATCTCTAAAATGGGGCTGTGTAATACTCAATCACCTCACACAGTTTTCTGGGTGGGTAGGGTGGAAAGATTATTTCATTCATATTTATGAATCAATTCAAAATATTAAGCTGAAAATTGGAATGAAAATTCAAAGTTTTTTTGTTTTTGTTTTTTAAATTTTGCTCCTATGCCCTACTCAATAGCAGGGAAACTGGAAGGTTTGCTTGTGCCCTAGACTAGGTGGGGGTTCTGGCTCCATGCTCCCAGAAGGAATAGGGCCTCGGGCAAAAGGGACAGGCCTGGGGTGGCCAGCCCTCAGCACCACCTGAAGTACACCGTGCTGCAGCTCCCTCTCCCTCCCCCCCACATCAGTGCTCAGAACTGCCCAGAGCACACTGCGTGGTGCTCTGGTGGTGTTATATAGGGCCTAGGACAGCAGTAGCACTGGCCGGGAGTCACCAGGCCCGTGGGAAACTGCTCCTTTTGCCCAGCTTCTTCCATTTCACCCCATACAGGAAGTAGTGACGTATGAAAAGAAAATATTTCTTTCTACTTTTCTCATAGGGTAGGTCTACACTGAATTCCTCTTTCGAGAGAGGAATGCAAATGTAACCAAACGAAATTGCAAATGAAGTGCGGATTTGAATTTCCCGCTCTTCATTTGCATAATCACATAGGGCCGCTTTTTGTAATATCCTATTTCAAAATAAAAAACGCTGTCTAGATGTGGTTATTTAGAAAGAAAACCCTACTTTTGAAATAAGCCTTACTCCTTATAAAATGAGGTTTAAGGGTAATTTTGAAAGAAGGGTTTTCTTTCGAAATAACTGCGTCTAGACAGCATTTCTTTTTTTGAAATAGGGTATTTCGAAATAGCACCCGGATGCAATTATGCAAATGAAGCACGGGAAATTCAAATCCACACTTCATTTGCAATTGCATTCCTCTGCATTTGCATTCCTCTCTCAAAAGAGGAATGCAGTGTAGACATAACCTAGGGAGTTATTTCAAAATAACCCCCCTTATTTTGAAATAAGTGGAGCGTCCACACTACCAAGCCTGTTATTTCAAAATAACATGCTGGTTATTTAAAAAAACTGTTCTGCTTTTCTTGGAGAATAAGCTTATTTCAAAATAGATATATAGGGAGTTATTTCAAATTTAATTATTTTGAAATAATTTCTTAGTTGGACATGCCCTCAGATAGCATTAGGATGGCAGAAGAATTCTGTTGACCTCCCAATCTCTCAGGGAGCTGGATTCCAAATGCCAATGAGAGAACTGAAGAGCTATTCAGAAAAGCCATAAATCTAATCTCAGAAAGGAATTTAAGCAATTAGGAGCCTAAATCCTATCAATGGAATTTTGTCTACAAAGTGCCTAAATAGCTCAGCAACAACTGAATATCTTTAAACATCTGGGCCTTTAGCACAGGTTTAACTTCCCATATATGAATAGTAGACAATAGAACTACTTGCATGCTCAATTGCTTTGCTTATGGCCTAACTGAAGCTGTAGAATTTTTTTTTTAAATGAGGCTTTCATATGATGTACTGAATGGTCCAGGTCTGTTTGAAATCATCTTAATTTTAGTTTGGTGTTTCTTAAAGCATGTCATGCAAAATTCTGGAGAAGTACATAGTTTTTCTGAGTTTCATTTTTTATGGGAAATAAAGCTGACATGCTACTGTTTCAAGGAGATACACAGTGGTGGTCCAGTGAAGACTATTGTTGTTCAAGAAACTTTAGGAAATCATTTTCTCAAATGTTGTTCTTGTCAATAAGAACAAAATTACTTCCTTTAGGAGATGTTGTAATTATAGACTATTCTGAAGATTTTAAAACAGTATCAAATGCAAATCCAATATATACTTGTATTTTCATTTTTCCCTGATTGGGAAAAAGTGTAATATTTGTCTCTGAATTAAAACCAGCATGTTTGACATAAGACACCCACTTAATTGGTTTCATTTTTGTTTTTTCTCTTCTCTGATTTTTTATCCACTGAAGAGCTTCATAGCACCCTCCATGGTGTTTGACTACATTGTGACAAAAGTGCTTGCAAGTCTATGAGTCTAAGTCTATGAGTCTATGTCAGAAAACTTCAGATCAGTGGGCAGCCTGTGGCCCACTGGGGTTCTATGTATGACCCATAAGACATTTTGTTTACCTTTGCCCACATGCAGGGTTACCATATTCTGCTGGTTTCCGTCTGTGTAGGTTTTTTCCTAGCAGTATTATTAAACTAACATGCACGTGAAACAAGGGCACAGGGGAGGTATAGCTCAGTGGCTTAAGCATTGGCTTGCTAAAGACGGTTTTAGGGATCTGGGGCAAATCTGTGAGGAATGGTACTTGGTCCTGCTGTGAGGGCAGGGGAATGGACTTGATGACCTGTAAGAGTCCCTTCCAGTTCCATGAGAGGGGTATAAATGAGCAGGGCTCAACAAATAATGCAATCTACTTGCCCGTGGTGAGTAAATTTGTTCTTCCTCCAAGAAGTTTAAGTTACAGATTGTTGCTGGTGGTGTGCAGGGAATCACTGTGATGTAGCATCATGGGGGATTTAGTTCAGCTGGGGAGCTTGGTCTATACAAGAAAATTGCCTGCATGATGCAAAGCAGTGTCTCAGATTTGGAGATTAATGGAGAAACAGATCCAAAATAACACATTTTGTGGCCATTTTTCCTAAGGAAAATTGTATTTTTGTGGAAACCACATTTTCTGTGAAAAACATTTGGCCAAAGATTACCGCCCAGTTTTAGTGGCAACCCAATTCGTAGTTCTCATATAATCTGAGTGTCATTCACCATACAGAGAGCCAGCACCTTGAAGTTTATCTTAAGACAGGGGTTCCCAAACTTTTTGACACAGGGACTAGTAAATCCATTCACAAACTTTTGGAGGACCAGTAATGTTCATTTGCATATTCATTAATCAAATGATGAATATTCAAATAAGTTGTTTCTGGTCCTCCCAAAACCCCCAGTGCCAGCTTTAGCAAAGCTTTTGATACGGTCACCTACAATATTCTTGCCAGCAAGTTAAGGAATATGGATTGGATAAATGGACTGTAAGACAGACAGAAAGCTGGTTAGACCAGGTCTAACAGACAAAAAGCTGGTTAGACTTTTTACTTTAGTTAGAACCCTTTTTTTTCCAAATACTGCTTTTTGCAGCCCAAAAATATAAACACATAAAAAACAAACTGAGAAAATACCAGACATATAACATGTCTGGTATTTTCTCATTAGGTAAGTTGTATTATTACTAGATGTATCCGTTTGTAGTTTCAAACTGCCTGGCTGGTAAATGTGCTCAGGCTGCATGAGTGTGTCTACCAACCAATCATAGAATCATAGGACTAGAAGGGACCTCAAGAGGTCATCGAGTCCCCCCCCCCCCCCTCAAGGCAGGACTAACCAGATAGTTCGCAACTACTCCAGGGGTGGGGTGGGGGAGAAGAGAACAGTAGAATCCCTGTGCTGGATTGACTTCCCCCAACCCCCTTCTGGGTAGCCAGTTCTCCCCCGCTTCTCCTCCCACTCT